CATTGCTCAAGCCTAAAAAAACAGGTAGAACAAAAAAATGGGATTACTTTTTCATATTGAGCTAAGCATCCACGACAAAACCGACACAGAGGTGAAAAGTAGCTTCGCACCATTTACGATACAACACTTAATTAGTATAGCAGCTAGCAGGAAAAATAAGACAAAAGCAGCTCTTTGAAAAAAATGTCAGAAAAACAATCTACAAAATTTTCTTACATTCATCTCAAATCATGTTTAACCTGAAGAAAACATGGTTAGAAATATATTTGGCAGAGTACGAAGCCGACAAAACTAAGCCGACAACACTATAACAGACGCCTGAGGAGACAAAAAAAACTATTATAAACTAAAATTTAGGGAATTCTGTTATGTTTTAAATTTTTCAATTAAGAAGTTTCATTGTTTTGTTCCAATATCTAATAAAATTTTTATCAGCTTTGGTTGTCAGGAATTTAAGTCAGCGAACTTCTGTAAATCTTCTACTGACCAATTTCGAGTTGACTCTGTCATTGCATGTATATCTGCGGGCAACATATATATACACTGCTGTTGTTTCGTTGCAATAGACTGTGCATCAAAGAGTGCACTTTACTATTAGTGTCATGAAAATAAATGAGCTATTCTCAAGAAAAAAATCTAAACTCGAAGAAATTTGACCCCTACCGAAAAAGAGAAGTATACAATTCTGTTTTACCAACGCAAGCACTGCAATATAATACGACTATGCTGACATAGAATACACCGAATTCATTCAAACTGAATAAAATTTCAATGCGAAAAAAAGTGAAAATACAATCCAAAGCGCACTAACAACTGCATTTGAATTTTCATGAAAATGAGCAGAGCAGCAATTCTAAACGAAAAAAAAGTCCAATGGAGGGTTGCAAACCTTTACCTATTGCGTGGGTACAAAAATTCAAGCATAAATTCAAGAGCAGCTAGAAGACTTCAAAACTTGAAATCAAAATTAGGGTAAAAATTTTGAAAAAAAAAAATGACTGTTTGAGCCTCTCTCAACTTCTAAAAGTTAAGCAAGATAAACGAGAGCATTTAAATTTCGGCGAAAAATGGAATGGTGTGACATTATCATCATATAGCGCAAAACCCATTCTCTCGGACGGTTGTATAGGTCACCAGCTCAAAGATACATTCAAGCGAATTCTATGAATACATGCTTTAATGATATGCATTCACACAATTGAAATTGCAAAAGAGCTCTTAAATACGAATTGAATTAGGAACAAATAAGCTTCTAAAAAGAGAAAGAATTAGCCGACTACAGCATTCGAATTTCCTACATATCGTTATACAGAATTCGACTCAATTTCTGTCGCCACTGAACAGTATCGCCTTGCTGTATTAATGAGTTAATGCACAGTCTAATGGTTGGTTAATAGCAATTGCTAGAAATGAATGCACTTCAAGCGGATAAAACAAAATATAATAATAAAAATAACAATAATAATAATAAGATTGAACTAATCCCGCAAGTTATGCGAATTAAATGTTTGTAGTTTGTCAAACAATAACAGGTTCAATTTCTTTCTAAAGATTACAGGTTTTTACAGGTGAGAAAATAGCGTTTTGAGGTGCTTGTAAATTTGAAATTTCGGCCTCAAGACCCTTCCGCCTGTTGTACTAGACCCCAGTTTAGATATCAGGCATCAAATAGTCTTCTTGTAAAAACAGTATACAGCGAGAGCATACCCTATATAATTAACTTGCACCTAAGATTGCTCTAAAAAGTTTGACATGCCTTGGAAAAACTATCGACAGTCCGATCAATCTCAGAATGAAATAAATTGGAAGCGGGCATTCAACAGTACCGAAACTGCACATTTGTTGAACAATGCCAAAAACTGATGATATTTGAAAATTTGAGTTCTGTTTGCGAATTGGAAATAATTCGTGAATACTGTTTTTGTTTTGTAGCAAAACCGAGCGTAAAAATTGACAAATTGGGTTGTTAGTTATTTGGTCAGAAAAATTTAGGACCATGCTCTTGGAAATTTTGCTCGTTTAATAAGCGACATCAATTAAGTGGCTAATTCTGTCGTTGTAATTTACGAAAATTTGAATTTAATAACTTTTCAGTGATTTAGGAATGTGTAAAATCAGTATTTAACTAATTTTTTTTCCGGCACTGTTGTATTGTTCCAAATTGAAAACCAGTGACTTTAAAACTTGCTTTAGTTAATTGTTCCGACTTTCGAAGAAAACGAGGAATATATTTACCTGGGGTGTTTTTAGTTGAATTCAGACCAATTTTACAAAGTTGACAGCGTATGGGCATCGATGCGGAAATCTTTGGACTGCCAAGCGAGTGTTCTTGGCAAAAGACTAAAATGCGGATAGCATCGCGGCTCGAATAATATTTTGATAGTTTCAATGCGCAAATTGTTTATGCGGGACAAAGTATGCGCGCTCATAATCGTTTCATCTTGAATTGAGGACAACTTTAATTGGTCATATTAATATGCAGTACAAAATCTATGGTTTATCATAAGTTTTTTTTTGATAAACTACTCTAACTCAGTTAAGGGGCTTGTTTCTATTATTTTTCATTAAAATTTCACTTCCTGAAAAAAATTCAGTTACTGTCGTTAAGCCAGTCAAGAAAAAAACGGTAGTCGCATAATAATCAGTCACCAAAAATGCTGCGATTATCGAAATTGAGCTTAACTGAATTTTATCGATGCCCTGTAAAAGTTGTTGATTTTAATACTGTTTCATTATAAGCAATCATAATTGACTCCCACAAATAGATATTGTCGAAATCATATTGTAAAAATTCTTCAAAAACGTTCTTACAAAATTCTCACGTTAAGATTCCAAATAATTTTGTGAGTTAGTGCCGAAAGCGTGGTTGAAAACCAGTCAATTAAATTTCATATATGGCCGGAAAATCCTCACTCCAACTCAGTTTAGTATAACCAGCGTTAACGCACCTCCGGTGCTTCGAAATTTTTCGACAACTCATGAAAAACCCCATATATTGGAAACAACATCTGCAAACTTTTAGTGTACTCTGAATGAACCCAATTACAGGGTTGGTTATTTCGAACTTTTTTTAATTCCCATTTTAAAAGCGTCATCTCGGAAATTTAATGGGAGGCCACGTTCGGAACCACTGAGAGTCCCTCACAGCACCCTACTATAGGGTAGGAATTCAACAAGTTGTGAATTTTTTTAAATTAAGTTTCCCGAACAAAAAATTGACAAAAGCTTCTTATCTCGGAAACTAAAGGGACTTGAGCATTCATATTAAGAGGCAAGAGTTGAGGCGCCAGGGTGTACGCTAACAATAAAGTTGTATCTTCATCGAGTTGGTAGTTTCAAATTTTTTGAATTTCTTTGTAGATAAATTCTTTGAGAAATTTTGAAAAAACCAAAAAACGTCACATCTCGGAAGCTGAAAGCATTTGAGCAGTCGCATGTGGCAAGATTTGCAACTCTTTAGAGAACCTGACAACACCGAACTATAGCGTTGGGAATTTCAATTTTTGAAAACTAATTAATTTTAACTTTCTGCAAATTTTGGAAAAATTACAAAAAACGTCACATCTCGAAAACTACAAGGATATGAACAGTCATATTTGGAGGTACGATTTGTAATTCCTTAGAGTACTCTGACAGTACCCAACTACAGGGTTGGGAATTTCAGATATTTAAAAAATAATAATAATTTAAGTTTTCTGAAAATTTTTGAAAAAATCACAAACAAAGTCATATCTCGAAAACTACAATGATTTGAGCAGTCATATTTGGAGGCAAGACTCGCAATCCTTGATAGTACTCTGACAGTACCCCACTACAGGATTGGGAACTTCAACTTTTGTAATTTATTTGTTTTCTGAAATTTCTGAAATATTTTGGTAAAATCTCAAAAATCGTCTTATCTCGTTCACTTAAATGATTCGGGCATTCAAAATTGGAGGCCAAACTCGCAACCCCTAAATCGATATTGGGCTGCTTAATTCAAACTCGGTAAAATAACCACTTAAATCAAATTGGAAAATCGAAAAAAAAATTCTTAACCACTGCAATATACGATATAGCTTAAACATGCAAAAATAATACGTTGAAAAAGCTTAAGCATGGCGAGATAGTGAAGCCAGCATTTAAATATATGGCCAAATTCACAACCCGTAATTAGATATTGGGCGGCTTAACTTAAACTCTGTAAAATAACCACTAAAATCAAATTGGAAAATCGAAAAAAAAATCTTAAACATTGCAATATACGATATAGCTTAAACATGCAAAAATAATACGTTGAAAAAGCTTAAGCATGGCGAGATAGTGAAGCCCTCATTTAAATATATAATAGATAGATTATCACGCGCCACTGTGCAATGGTTCGTTATACCTTTTGTAACCACAGCTGAAAGCTTTCATGTTCATTTTGCATATCTTTAAATGCTGTAGATAATCACCCCAATTATTATTTTTGTACTTTCAGTAAATCTAAGTTATTCAGAATCAGTGCTGAGAAATAGTAATACTAATTAAACAAGGCGGACAAATATTTTTGCTTTGTCTAATTGGGGCAGGATGTTAAGTCCTTTGCTTTTTAAAAAAACCGTGCGAGCTACAATTTTTAGCCCCGGTCCTACTCGATGCAGGACCAACAGCGGGGGAGGGGATGCCATCCATTTAGCTGCAACGGTACTACCTTGGAGGCGGATCACACTGGGACCCTTCAACCGTGAGAAGTGGGATTCGAACGCACGACCCTCGTGTTGAGATACGCGTTCCTTAATCCACTCGGTCTACACTTTCAGCTGATATACCAGATGCGTCATTTTGCATATTATTTCCGCATCGCACAAAACCTGAGGACAGTGAGAAAAATTGCCTCGTAAAAACGACAAGTTTCGCTTGTGTTTTTTTCAGAGGGTTAATTGTACAATTTGCTTCCGTTTTATCGGCTTAGCAAAAACTATACCTTGCTTTTGATCTAAAACTTGAGAAGCGATCCATAAAACACAACAAAAGAATGCACTTATTAAAATAAATTATCAAAAACTAGTTAAATTGAATTTTAGAGCAATAAATTAGAAGTGCGAAAATCGGATTTATTTATATTTAAGCACCAAAACTTTAAAATCAATTTCAAGTCTGAATTGTGAATTAATTATTTCTTGGTTTTCTTCGGTCACTGCTCACTGTCAAAAACAATTCCAAATGTGATAGTTTCCAATCAATTTTCAACTTTTGATCTCCAAAAATTGCGAAATCGAAAAAAAACAGCTTTTCCTTTAAAATGCTTCATTTATTTGCGCATCGAAGACCAGTATACTGAATACAACGTATCAATTTGGAGACCAATTTTAGAAGAGTCTTGCTTTTGGTGGGCTCAGTTCAGTATCTAATGTATAAGTATTTGTTTTTGTTTCTTTCCATTTTTTCCTTTTGATGAGTGACCATGGTTTAGCTGAGAGCGCCACTGTTTCCGTGTTTACATCTCATGGCCCTGATGACGTCATTTGGAATGGACTCGGAGTGGCCTTCATCTGCACTGCAAAGAAGTACAACAATTACTTACAAAGCTCTGATTTGTCGATTGTACATTAGGTGCCAAAAATCATAACCTCAACGAGCTCAGCGCTTTCGGATTTCGTGAAATTTTGTCTGCTAATTTGAAAAACTCGAGAGCAAGTTTTTATTTTTCAAGAATCCGACAGACAATCTTTTTGAATATTTTTAAGAATCCTAATCATGGCTGAAATGACTTAATATGATACAATAATTGAACAGTACAATCTCCACACTTAACACCTACGAGCACCAGCGGATTGGGGGGAGGGGGGGGGGGGGCTTGGGAACCTCTCTTTCTTTCAGGAGCTCGACACCCCGCCGACCCAAAGGGTTCCCCCTTAGTAGTAATTTGAGATATTCATTTTTGGTGACTGACCCTAAAATTTTCCAATAAAAGCCTAAAAACGCCTTTTTGGCCTGTTTTTTTTTTTAAATTTTGCCTGCAAAATCCTAGATCCGCCCCTTGCCTACGAGCTTCCTTTCAGGTATTCAAGATCGGCTGCAAATAAACAGACTCTTACCCCATAGTTCTTTCCTATCTCTAGCCCGGTGAACGGAATGAACGGTTACGAAATACACGGTTAGATAAAAAATAATTTTAGGCAGATTAAAACTACGCATAAAGAAATAAATCGGGTCTTATGCACCAACAGTCAATATATCTCATCTTGAATTGAAATTGATGTGGTTAAATCTAATTGACTCATATTAACATTTGAAAATGTTGACATCCTTTTCTGCATAAAATATGCATTTCGAAAGATTACCTCTTAAATGACTGTTTCTCAAATGGTATAATACAGAAATTTTTTTCCAATTGTCGTAAATTCCATCCAACAGTTGCATTGAAAGAAAATTCGAAAGGGCCTTTTTTGAGAACAAGGGGTGAGCAGCATTAAGTGTAGTCAATTCCAATAATAATTCACATGGTATCTCGAAAACAGTATAAAAATGGCTCTTTTTCCTTTAACCACTGCGCATGAGCATCAATTTTATGGTGTAACTTAGTGTTTTTAAGTTGAGTATGAAGACCAAATAGGTTTGCCATGGTTTAATTACGCCGCACACCATTTTTCATGACAATCGGACAATGTTAACAAATCTTTTACTTCAAAAAATTGGCAGGTGGGGGGTCAACAGAGCCAAGAGAAAGCATTATCTTGCTATTACTATACCGTTTGAGTAACATAGAGGCAAAACTGAGCTTCGCACCACATGCGATACAACTTGATCTATCAAAATGAATTAATATAGAGGCAAAAATGCCCAAACAAAAGAATGCAAATCAGCATCGGAACAAAATTAACCAGGCGGTGACAAAGATGAAAACACCTGAAAAGAAACTGTTCAAGTCGAAATGTTTTTTTAACTCAAAACAAATTAAAAACTACTAGCGTTTAACGCACCTTTAGTGCTTCGAAATTTTACAATTCATGAAAAACCGCATATATTGGAAACAGCATCTGCAAACTTTTAGTGTACTCTGACTGCACCCAATTACAGGGTTGGTAATTTCGAACTTTTACAATTTTTTAATTCCCATTTTAAAAGCGTCATCTCGAAAACTTAATAAGCCTCTGGAGAAATTTTGAGGCCAGATTTGCAACCACTAAGAGCACCCTATTATAGGGTTAGGAATCCCAAAATGGTGTGATTTTTTTTAAACCCAAAACCCGAAAAAAAATTGAAAAAAAAACGTCTTATCTCGAAACTAAAAGGATTTGAGCATTCATATTTAGAGGCAAGATTTGAGACGCCTGGGCGTACGCTGACAAAAAGGTTGTATCTTTATCAAGTTAGTATTTTCAAATTTTTTGAATTTCTTTGTAGATAAGTTCTTCGAGAAATTTTGAAAAAGTCAAAAAACGTCAGATCTCGGAAACTAAGCATTCGCGTTTAGCAGACGCATGTGGCAAGATTTGCAACTCTTTAGAGTACCCTGACAACACCGAACTATAGCGTTGGAAATTTCAAATCACAAAAAACGTCATATTCGAAAACTACAAAGAAATGAGCAGTCATACTTGGAGGCAAGATTCGCAATCTTTGAGATTACTCTGTCAGGACCTGACTACAGGGTTGGGAATTTCAGATTTTTAAAAACAAATAATAATTTAAGTTTTCTGAAAATTTTTGAAAAAATCACAAAAAAACGTCATATCTCGAAAACTACAAAGAATTGAGCAATCATATTTGGAGGCAAGATTCGCAATCTTTAAGATTACTCTGACAAGACCCAACTACAGGGTTGGGAATTTTAGATTTTACAAAAAAATTAATAAGTTTTCTGAAATTTTTTTTGAAAAATCACAAAAAACGTCATATCTCGAAAAGAACAAAGATTTAAACAGTCATATTTGGAGGCAAGATTTCTAATTACTTACATTACTCTGACAGCACCCAACTACAAGATTGGGAATTTCAAATTTTGAGAAATAATAATTTATTACAATTTTCTAAAAAATTTTTTAAAAAATCACAAAAAATATCATATCTCGAAAACTACAAAGAATTGAGCAGTCATATTTGGAGGCAAGATTCGCAATCTTTGAGAATACTCTGACAGGACCCAACTACAGGGTTGGGAATTTCAGATTTTGCGAAAAAAAATTAATATAAGTTTTCTGAAAAATCACAAAAAACGTCATATCTCAAAAACTACAAGGATTTGAACAGTCACATTTGGAGGCAAGATTTGTAACTCCTTAGAGTACTCTACAGCATCCAACTACAGGGTTGGGAACTTCAAGCTTTGTAAATTATTTTGTTATTTGAAATCTCTGAAAATTTTTGAAAAAATCTCAAAAATCGTCTTATCTCGTTAACTAAAATGATTCGGGCACTCAAAATTGCAGGCCAAATTCGCAACCCCTAATTTGATATTGGGCTGCTTAATTTAAACTCGGTAAAATAACCACTAAAATCAAATTGGAAAATCGAAAAAAAATCTTAATCATTGCAATATACGATATAGCTTAAACATGCAAAAATAATACGTTGAAAAAGCTTAAACATGGCGAGATAGTGAAGCCCGCATTTAAATATATAATAGATGACGTCCCTTTTCCCCTCATAATACACACAAGCACGCAAAAAAAATTTCGCGCATCAAATGACGCAAAGTGAAACTCTTAAGCCGATATAGCACAAGCCAAAACAAATTATATGAAGTTTCAACAAAACGATAGGTAAAAACACAACAAAGTCAGTAAGTGCTGAGGTGAGTGTAAAATTGTGTTTCTCCTGAAACTACCCAAATTTAGGTCACGAAGCAGATAAAAAATAGGCCGAAATAATTTAGGCCGGAAAGATTTTAAGCGAAGCAAAAAGAAAGAAAAATGAAGTCGAAGTATATAAACAATTGAAGGAGTAAACCAAACACTAAAAGCAACCTTCAAGAAGAAAGCTCGCCGCCAAAAAAAAGTACAAACTGTTCAATTTTATTTGAAACAGAATATTTACCCGCTTGAAAAAAAAACAGAATCGGGTCAAATTCGAACCAGGACCTTTCCCGTCCCAGGTGTGTTTGTCACCTTCAAAATGATTGGGCCGGGAACGCTAAGAAATTTGAATTCATTATGGAACAAGGTCCAATTGAGATGAGTCCAGATGATTCCTGTGAACTAAGAAAACTCGTAATCGATTGCAATACCCTTGCTTGTCGCAAGATTAGCAAAAAAGAAGGAGTCGTTGCTTCTGCGGAAAATAAATTTCTCGCAACCGGTTCTTTCTTTTGAACTTTTGATCAATGAAATAAAAATCATCGCGACCTATATACGAGTCTGAACTAGGTTCATTGACGCTTAAAAAAAACTTTAAAAAAGTTAGGGGGAGATCAGCCTCTTATTACCAAAAATTTTCAGACCAGTTTTACTCGACATTCAGAAAATATGACTTTATTATGATACCGCACTTGACATTCTACAACCTTTCTAAGATTTGATCCCTTGAATTTCCGAAAAAATGGACCCTATTAGTTTTTTCTACTCAATTTTAACAATGTTTTCGGAAGAATAAGTAATGACACACTACTAAACACAGCCGAAGCTGAGCTTCGCACTCTTTGCTATACAAAACAAGAAAGCCGCAAAAAACCAAAAATATCAAAAAAACTAGATCCATTAAAATGAAAAAGGCTACTTTTGAAACAAAAACGGACCAAGACAAAAGAGTGTCAAATTAGCATCGAAAGAAAAATTACCAATCAGTAACAAAGCCGCAAAAAACCGTCCCAGAAACCCTTTAAGCCGAAAAAAAACTCAAAAGTTATAAAAGATTATTAAATCCCCCTCACCCTCGAAACAGACACAAATAAACTTAATTCGCTCGTCAATTAATCAAAAGGGTATTTATACGTTAGAAGCGTAGATAGTGCTACGTCACGATAGCAATTACTATGAAAGACAAACGACTTACATGAGAAATATTAGCTCCTCCTGCACTTTGGCCTCTGGAAACTCAATCTAAACAAAAGAAACATCAAATAGAAATATCAAACTAGTGATAAAATTAATCAAGATTGTCGCTAACTTATTTTGGCAGAATAGAGATCAAATGCTTAGTCTTTATTAAAGGTTGTGCAATAATTTTTTCTCATAACAAATTAAGGAATGGTTTCGTTAGTCAAATAGAGCGCGTGAAAAACGAAATACTCTGAACTAGAGGTAGGTCCAAACATGTATGTATTTTTCCCTATCAAAAATATAGCAGGCATATTATCAATTGAATAACGTTGTTGAGTCTTAGACAAAGGTGAAGCTGCACTTCGCAAACACAAGCGATAAAACCGCGAAAAGTAACTGTAAAAAGGTTTGAAAAGGTAGAAAAAGAAAATTGTCTCATCTGCGCCATTTTCGCATGGCAATCGCCAAACACTAGCCACCAATTTAGCAGATACAAAATTGCCGCTGATTTGAAAATTGACTCTCTACGAGCATTTATTGAGGTGTAAAAATTGCGGGGAAAAAGAGGACATCCTGTGCCATATTTCGACCACTTCGTGAAGTAGTCGACAACAAATCACCAAAATAAAATCGTTTTTTAATGCCTACAACTCGTTGTAACTAGTAGCCCTCAAAGTTTTTTTTAAATGACCAGCTAATTTGTGTTTTCAGAACTGACTAACTATTTTTTAAAGCGTCCACATTGCTCTATTAAATAGTGTGCCAGTGCCCCCTACCTTGATGTTTTTCTTCTCGGTGGAGTAGACGATAGAAGAACAGCAGACCTCTGCCCTCTTCTGACCCAGTTTGTTGTAGAAGGTCCACTGGCAGATCTCGTTGCTGGAGAAGCCGAAGATGTCCTTGAAGAAGTTCAGTCTGCCCTGGTAGAGCACTGCCAACTTGTCGAACAGCTCTATGTTCTTCAACAAGTTCTCATCCGATTGGCTGAAACATTCGAGCAATCAAATAAACCGCTAATAATGATTCGTTACGTTTCAGCCAATTTTTTCGCTCGCAAGTGGCAAAATCGCGCGAAACACGAACATATCCTACATCATAATTCCTCATATTTTGTGAAGTAGTTAGGTCACAAATTCACTAGTTAGGTATCCCAAAAGCCATGATAACGAGAGAGTTGAGCCTAATCGTAAGCACTCTAAAATAATAAATTATGATTTTTTTGCTAACTTACCTTGTGTATGAGTATTTGTTATTCTGTCGATTGCACAAGAACTTAACTGCGGCCTAAAACAATAATCATATTATTTACCTCGAAAAACCAAAACTGGAAAGCATATTCAGAACAGAAATTATGAAGCTGCTTTCTTCGTTTCTTTTCCACTTCCCGGCAATACGTTTTTCCTGTGCATATACAAAACAGTCCCGTACAAAACAGTCCAATACAAAATAGTCCAAAAAATCAAATAATGAAGGAAAAAAACAGTCCGATACAAAACAGTCCGGCTTAAGGTTGCCGGTGGGCGCGCGCGTCTCCGCTTCGCGGCAATAACCGGCTCTAAATTTCGTATTAAGTCCTACCCTCTGTTGGCAAGCTCGCAACACGTTGGCGCGACTGCGGCGGTCACTATTTTGTTCTTTATGTTTATTGAACAAAGGACAATTCTCGGCCTACCGGCATGTTAAAACAATTAAAACTTGTGACTCTTTTGTATCGGACTGTTTTTTCGTTCATGTTCATACTTTTGCGGACTATTTTGTATGGGACTGTTTTGTACAAACACGGTTTTTCCTTCCAAACTTTTCAACTCGATATTTTTTGCATGCTATTTTGGCTAAATGCGTAATTTTTAGAAGTATTTTTAAAACAAGGAAGAGCAATTGTGGTCAGAATAGTTGGATTGTGCACATTCAACATTTTCGTTTTCATTATTACCAAGTTTCATTTCTGAAAAATGAAAATCAAATGAGAGGGACGGGGGGGGGGGGGGGTGGAGAACATTCTTGTCTTACTTTTCCTGTTTCGAAGAGTGAGCTCTCGTCCAGCTGTTTTGTACATATGAATGGGACCAGTTTGACCTCTTTAGGAGAGAAGTTCTTCACGTGTGTGCTGTGTCTGTCCTCGACTGTCTGCTGAAGTAGATTCACCAGCACTCCTATGCTGTAGAAGTTGGCCTCTGTGAGGATTGAGTGGAGCTCCTTGTCCGAGAGGTTCTCCACACAAAGAGTGCCGTCTCGGAAGAAGTTGAGGATATGTTCGAAGTAGGTGCCGTCTCGGTCGATCAGAATCCAACCTGCGTAGATCAAAACCTATGACTATTCTCCTCCTTACTATCTTGGGCCTTGCTTCCGTAGTGGATATCGATATCACTATGACCCTCATGTCACCAGCTGCTGAGTATTTCTCCCTTCTTGCGGAGAGTATTACACTAAGCTTATGGTTTCGGTCAATTGACCTGATAACTCACCGGTCGCTTCAGTGATGCAAAATAGATTGTCACAATAATAGACAAATGCAACCAATTAGAGAGCTATGCGACGATCAAAATCTAAGGCAATTCACTAACCTCGCAAAGTTTTCAAAATATCAAACCGTTCCAGCATTTCGTTCATTTATCATATCAACTGATTCTCAGAAGATATCGAGAAATAACACTAAAGATTTCTGCTGCTGATAACATACAGCGAACTATTTCATGAGAAACAGAGAAATACGACAGAAAAAGAAAAAACAAAAAGCACCTTCTTCGTCGGCGACTAAGTCCATTCTGCCCGACATCATGGCCGAAAACATGGACTCCTGATTGGTCAGTGTATCCACAGTAGTCTGGAAAAACCTGCCGCCCACATTCAGTCTCACAAACTTGCCCCCTCCTTCTGCCATGTTGACCCGCATCAACTTGGTCTTCATCGAAGGAACTCCTGTAGCCGACGATGCAGTTCCTCCACTCACACTCACACTCGCGCCGCTCAACACGTGACTCGACTGACTGCTCTGATTATCGCCACTGTTCATTGCTGTTATCTGTTGCGAAATGGAGTTGTTCCGATTGGGAGGGGAGAGGGAGGGAGGGGCTCCTCCAGACGATGAGAAGGCAACAGGCACTGTAGCAGCTGCAGGCGATGATGACGTCACTGATAATATCCGGTCTCCATCTCTTCGGTTATCCATCAACTCACTATCTACTATCTGAAAATATTGCAAAAAAAACAACTTCAAAAATGGCACATGCTCATTGTCACGTTTACAGTTAGAATTGAGATACTGCTTGATTAGTTAAACTGAGATACTTTTTATGAGTGTCTCACACTTTTTCTCGCTAACAGCTTGAAAACTTTCATTCAGCCAAAAAAAACATAGCCATTAGACAATTGGAAAAGAGTCAATAAGCAGAAAAAACAGTGACTTGTTTTTTGAAAAATCTCAATTTTCGAATTTCACAGAAAAAAATCAGATGCCCTTAAAGCTCTTTGAAAATAGCTGCATTTAAGCTTTTTTGATAAAATTAACCCAATTTGAGAAACTGGATCAATACGTAACACTTTAATTTTGCTACGAAATCTGAAAATTAAATCCCACTTTCGAAACTAGAAGTCGATCACGTTTTTCGCGACCTTTACTCTTTCGCTGGTCGATATTGGAGGAGAAAGGTAAATCTTTCGCTGTTCGATAGTGAAGTTCGAAACTAGAAGTCGATCACGTTTTTCGCGACCTTTATTCTTTCGCTGTTCGATAGTGGAGGAGAAAAGTAAATCTTTCGCTGTTCGATTGTGAAGTTCGAAACTAGAAGTTGATCACGTTTTTCGCGACCTTTACTCTTTCGCTGTTCGATATTGGAGGAGAAAGGTAAATCTTTCGCTGTTCGATAGTGAAGTTCGAAACTAGAAGTCGATCTTGTTTATCGCAACCTCTACTCTTTCGCTGTTCGATATTGGAGGAGAAAAGTAAATCTTTCGCTGTTCGTGAGTGAAGATCGAAACTAGAAGTCGATCACGTATTTCGCGACCTTTACTCTTTCGCTGTTCGATATTGGAGGAGAAAAGTAAATCTTTCGCTGTTCGATAGTGAAGTTCGAAACTAGAAGTCGATCACGTTCTTCGCGACCTTTACTCTTTCGCTGTTCGATATTGGAGGAGAAAAGTAAATCTTTAGCTGTTCGATAATGAAGTTCGAAACTAGAAGTCGATCATGTTTATCGCAACCTTTACTCTTTCGCTGTTCGATAGTGAAGTTCGAAACTAGAAGACGTCGCTGTTCGATAGTGAAGTTGGAAACTAGAAGTCGATCACGTTTTTTGCGACCTTTACTCTTTCGCTGTTCGATAGTGAAGTTCGAAACTAGAAGACGTCGCTGTTCGATAGTGAAGTTCGAAACTAGAAGTCGATCACGTTTTTCGCGACCTTTACTCTTTCGCTGTTCTATAGTGAAGTTCGAAACTAGAAGACGTCGCTGTTCGATAGTGAAGTTGGAAACTAGAAGTCGATCACGTTTTTCGCGACCTTTACTCTTTCGCTGTTCGATAGTGAAGTTCGAAACTAGAAGACGTCGCTGTTCGAAAGTGAAGTTCGAAATTAGAAGTCGATCACGTTTTTCGCGACCTTTACTCTTTCGCTGTTCGATAGTGAAGTTCGAAACTAGAAGACGCCGCTGTTCGATAGTGAAGTTGGAAACTAGAAGTCGATCACGTTTTTCGCGACCTTTACTCTTTCGCTGTTCGATAGTGAAGTTCGAAACTAGAAGTCGATCAGGTTTTTTGCGATCTTTACTCTTTCGCTGTTCGATAGTGAAAGAGAAAAGTAAATTTGAGCCTGAAAAATTTTTAAGACCTTTAAGCAAAAAATCCGAACTAACAAGTTATATAAAACTTTTACAAAAACTAAATATTAGGCAAAAAAATTCGATCATACGCTGGAAAAATGACCTATTGGTAGCAAAAACAACGTCAAAGTGGCAGTTCAATTGAATTAGGAGTGTCTCTCATTAATTAAGCATCTTATTTAGTTTGAAAAAAGACCCATTTTTTCGAATCAAATCACATTTTTTAAAATTTAGCTATATTTTCATGATAAAAATAAACCCTAAACCATAGCTCCTTACCAACTTGGTCAAGAGTTCTCGGAACAAAAATAAAACTATATTCATATTTGGCAGTAAACAAATATCTGTTTCGCAAGTTTGGAACCAATTCACGAGTATTCCACTTCGTTGTGTTTGCACTCGAGACAGTAGAAAAAAACAGTCTGGCCTTCGTCAGCCGACCTCGTTTGCATAGTCTTATACGCCATCTGTTTATTGCCGCAATTGCCACACGTTCTATCCGTCAATGCATCTTCATTTGAAGCCTTCTTCGGCCCTTTCGTCACTTCTTCTTTGGCTTTGAACTCAATTTTGGATGTCTGCACAGGCGACAATATTTTAGCCTGGTCCACTGCCACTTTGCAGCCTATACAACTGAAGCGTCTTTCTTGTAACATGCGGGCTGTGTTGAGGAAAACGCCGCAGTTCCTGCAGAACTTGTGATATGGATCTTCGACTAACGGGTATTCGTGCTCAAAATTAACCACAACTGCCATTTCGATACTGAAAGAGCAAGTTACTTTTTGAAATTGCAGACACACATTCAAATCAAAAGAAACAAACCTGTTTTTTTAAATTTAAATCCGTTTTCGAAAAACTAAAACCTTTTTAATGACATAATAATAGTATTAACACACTGACTTCCTTCGTGTTTCAGAAAGTATTCATTGGGTTTTCCTCATATAACCGATTAGTTAAATAGATAATACATCCTTCGCAACGTGTGATTAAATAGAATAAATTTGACAAAATAAATTCATTTTCATTTTTTCAATTTTTACTAGATCGGACCCTCGATTTGAGTCCTTTACCGGCGCCTTTCTTTGAACTCTTCACCAGTCCTTTCAGTCTTCCTTCCACTTTTTTCGCTTTTCTCTTATTTAGCACCTGCGCGTCCAAGGGCACAAAAGCGTACGGCTGGGGCTTCCCACGTACATTCACATCGCCTCTAGCATTCTTAGCTTTAAACGTCTTTCCAGTTTCAAAGGGAACATTCGATCGTTTTCCTTTTTCACTCTTTTTAGATCTCGCAGTTTTCCAGCTTTGATTCGAAGATGCCACAGACATCGCCTTCTTTCGTCTTTTCTTTGCCGATACTCCTTCTTCGTCGTCTTCCGAGTCTGAAGTGTCCGATTGGATTCCAATCTGCCGGCCTTTCAAGTCGTCTGGGTCAATTTCGTCGTCTTCATCATCGTCTGTAATTCCTGGGAGTTTCGTTTTCTTACCATTCACTCCCATTAGTTTTCCATCATCGCCTACTAGTAACAACCTTCCATCGGGTGCAAATTTCAGTTCAGTGCTTTTTGAGTTCCTCTTGACTTCGCCTTTTGTCGGAGCTTTCGACGTCAAATGCTTCGAGAAATTCTTTTCAGCAAGATCAACAATTCCATCTTTTCCTTCATTTATGAACACACTTCGCTTCGATCTGTTGGTCTTCCGGGTCATCATTGACTCTTTCGTTTGCACTTCATCGTCCGATGATTCCAACTCTCTGAGAATATCTGCAATCGTTTCTGCTTTTGAGACTCTGGTGTTAGCAGAAGCTGCGTCATCGTCAGCAGTCAATTCTGATTGGTCATCCGAAGCGCGACTCTCTCCCGACTTTCGCTTCACCTCTTCGCGGTTTATCTGCTTTCTTACACTTGCGGCCAACTTTTTCATGTTTTCAGGACACATTGTATAAATTACATCAGCGCCAACTTTTTTAGCCAGTCGGAATATGACTATTTTTACGCTGAACCTATATTTCAATTTCGTCTTTTCATTCCAATCGTTGAGCTCCGTTACAATTTTCTCGCAGAATTGATACAAGTTAGGACTATCGATGACAGAGATTATTACTTTAAGTAATTGGAAAGCAGGTTCGAAAAACACGGGACGATTGGCGTTTTTGATGTAATCTGACAGCAGGAAGAACAACTTCTTGTACAAATCTACGACCATATTTTCAGAGTAAAGAGCCACTAAATACTTCAACGCAATCAGACTTGCAATGGTCTGATCGGAACATGTAGGTTCCAGGTCTTTAAGCAAAGTACTCGCTAGACGTTCCACTGCTTCTGATATTTGAAGCTTAGACTCGTCCACATATCGTTTGCAAGACGCTTTGAACAGCTTCACCGACACTTCTTTGGCTGGACCTCGTTCTAGTTTCATAGCCAACACTGCTCTGGGCAATATTTCATTAACATGAACCAAGTCGAAGTTCTTTTTCTGACCAATCAGCTGCAAGAAGCATTTCAAAACTTGTTTTCGGGCCGAGTTGGATCCACTGTCGAAAGTGTGCATCAAATTTGGCATGAAATTTTTAATCAAATGAACACAACTTGTCGATTTTTCTTCTGACGGATCGTCAGAAATCGAGTTGAGATACTTCTTGAGAATTAAGATCACTTTCTTGTTGAGCTCGTCATGCTTCAACAAATCTGGCATTAGAGATGTAAACAAATTTTGAAGTTGTTCGTCTTCTAAGAAAGACACCATTTCTCGAATCAAATCAACCAGTAGTTTTTTCGTTTCAATATTAGTTTCGGTAGCCAAAACTCTGTGCACAGTATTTTCGAAGTACGACGTGAATTGCGCTTTGTCAATCTTCCCAAAGAACAGTTCTAGGATTCGAAGAACCGTTTTGCGATGTTGAATACTGGTTTTCTCCTCAAGATAAAGGTTGAAAAATTGGGGCATATAGTTCTTAGCATACTTAATCATTGTTTCTACTGTCTCAAAATTTGTCGACTTCAGCATTGCTGCGATAGCGTCCAAAATCTCAGAAGTGCAGGCATGATTCTCCGATATTAACATTGAGAGATGCTTCGCAAAGCCAGGCGAGAATGACTCCTTCGCATCTTGACAGTTTAGACAAAAGGTCGGCAGCAGTCCCCAAATTTGAGATCGAAGAACTGCTAAAACTTTTTGCTGGCTAGGCTCTTTGAATAAGCCTTCCATATTCTTCTCGGCATTCTTGGCAATTGGGTAAAAATGAGACTGCCAGATAGAAAGACGCGAGTTAACAACACCTGCTCGGAGGAGCGGTATCATCCAAGACCTCATCAAATCTTCGCCAGGCTCGCCTCGGATATTCAACGGGTAGCTCTGAAGAATCTTATCTGGACCGAAACTGCCAATGGCTTTATTGAGCACAATCGGCAGCCCGTAAAACTCACTATTGTTAGTTCTCAAAGTGCATAAATTTATCACGCTGGGTTCGAAAAGTGGGTAAAAGTCAGCCCCTAAAGCCGAGTAAACTTTACCGATGAAAGTGAAGACCGCTAAGAAGTTATCACTGTATTTGAAGTTCGTTAGCTCTGAAACAATTTCAGACAGTTTTGAAACATCCGAAAGTTTATCATGCTTGCTCTCAAACCAGATGTCTCTTATACTATTAGGCAAATTATCAAAAATCCCACATAAAATTTTAACGTACTGAGATACGGTTGCCTTAATTTGAGAGACAAAAACTGTGGTAACTCCAAACGACAAAAACGAAATGAAATGTGATGAGAAAAGTTGGGGACTCAATTTGGATAAATTAATCAACACTGATTCGTACACAGACAGCCAGCACGACACCAAATCTTGGTCGAAAAATGAAGGTTTCAGTTCCTCCAAAGCTGACAATAACTGGCCGTTCAGTTTCGGATCTACAATACACTCGTTTGATTCATCTTTGAAAACTAAAGAAACGAGCTGAAATGCTTTTTTCTTCAGTAGTAAATCGGTTCTACTGCATACAGAGAGACAAGTTTCTAAAGATACTTTGAACAAGTCGTCTGAATTATGCACAATAACCACTTGAAGCAAGTTCAACATTCTCATTTTCATCGACATCGGTTTCGTATCATCTAGTAAGCTTTCATGCAAATTCTTGGAAATGACAACCACAAAAGGATGTTGACTCGGTTTGCATACATTTTGCGTAACGACATCGCTATTGTGGAATATCAAGTTAACCAACCGGAAACAAGTTTTCCTGACTTTTGCGAAATCGTGATGAATGAACGACATCAGTAACTCTGCGTCAACTTTTAAATCCAGTAAAGTTTTCATTGGCTGACGACATATGAACTCAGCAAAGCAAGTCAATGCCGACTTCAACATTAAGACATTGGAAGACTTGAAATACTGCGTAAGATGAGACCTAACATAGGGAATTACATCTGCAAACTGGTTTCTAAGAATCTGCGGGTTCACTTTTCCAATTATCAATGACAGAAGGTAGTAGGCTGCAGTTAGTGTCGACTCTTGGGTCTCATTATTTGAAATGAAAACTACCAGAGCTCCGAACTGTTTCACTCTTTGCAACGGATCATCTGCATTCGCTTGCTGATCGGCTGGATCTCTACATTTTTCACTTTCGATATCTTCGTTCTGATTGGTTAAATCAGTCAGCATACTAGCCAATGAGCAGATCTCTTTCGCAACTGGGTCATCAACAATGCGACTCCAGTGCGACTCAATGCCTCGAAAAGAGGCACAAGATGCGACAGAAAACGCCGAGAAGGTTGTGTCAATTGTCTTTGCATCAAAATCAAACTCAGTCTCCATTGGAGCCGTTTTGCTATCGTCTCCAAAGCTAAGCGCACTGAGTTGATCTAGAGCGGATTTAGTCAATTTGTCCTCTTGTTCCGTTTTTGCAGCATAACGACTCATGACATTTTCTCGATGTCTCAGACTTTTCGGGTTGCTTGAAGAAGCGCCGTTTTTTGCCCACCGCGCATGATTGGTGCTCCTTGCAAACCTCACACGTTTCATTCTCAAAAATGCCGATTGTCACAACTCGAATCTGAAAATATATTCAGTTTAAGTTCAGCAGAAAAAATAACATTGAGAAATGAGACCAGAAATTTCATTCGGCCTAGCGAGACTACTATAGGGCGACAAGACCCTAAAATTTAATGTACTTGGGATTGTAATTTTAAGAAATAAGTATTTTTACTTTAGGAATGGATAATTTCTGAAGTTGTGTTTTTGTCACAGAAATATCCCTCATTCTTATGTTTAAATAAAAAACATTAATAATTTAGTTTTTCATTTAATTGAGATACCCTTGATGCCAATTTTTTTAAACTAACAGCTCCACGCTGAAAAAAAAACACCATAGACACGTAGACTTTTCATTGAAGTCGGAATCAGATTTTTTAGGCTTGACCATCCTATTCATATTCGCACGAGCTGTCTTTGCGTACTCAATTTGATGCTTGTAGAATTGATTTTGCTTTTTTTCTTCTTGGTTCCTGCGTAGCCCTATGTTCCTCTCTCAACCCACGTCTTGCTAGCAATGGCGTAATCCTAGCTTGAGTGAGTGCTGCTTTGGTGACGGTGAAAAACAGACGTGCAGAACCAATAAATTGCGAAGAAAGCAAGCGTAGAGGTTTAGAGGAGAGGCAGGGAAGAGAGAAGTTTTTAAATATAACGAGCTCAGAAGGTTTTGCAACTAACTGACAAGAATTTTGAGATCTCGCTATTTATGCTGGGGCTATGGGGGCTGAATAGTTGCTGGCCCATTTCTGTCACTTGCAAATAAAACTAGCCAATCAGAATTGATGTTAATACATACCAACCTACCATTTTGCGAGTTATTTTTAACCAATTAATTTTTTCTATTCTATCCCTCTGATCTCACGGCTTTTTCAACATGCTTAGTAATTTACTAACATAAAATCTATTACATGAACTTTAATTTCAGATAATTGTAGTGGCTACTTTTATAACAACGTAGGGAATCTAGAAAAGCAACTGAATATGAGGTAATTATTACGGATTAAATCTATTTCAAGTCAAATTGGCCGATCCTACAACGCTTCAAAAACTCACCGACCGAAGTTTTTTGCCTTTTGCTTTTGAGGGATACTTTGACTGTACCTTTCTCAAATTCTGAGCAATACAAGCAACGGAAATCTAGTCCTTAACAGCAAATATTATTTAGATCCATGTGTTCAGGTACAGCCAACTTACTATTAGAACAGTAGAAAAATCATTCACTCGGATTTGAACAGTAGCGGATTTACAGCGGGGTTTTTTGGGCAGATTTTTTATTCAGACCCCCAAAGGCGAGAGCGAACTTTTAACTCCATTTATTTCATTCAAAATTAGGCTTCACAGATTAACTTCAGATTGGGGTTCAAAAATAATCAATTGAATGTCCTTGCTGTGATTCGAGCTTTGTAAGTCTTTTCAGCTTAACATCGAGAATCCATTAAAAATTTTGGCTTTTCCGCGCAAGGAGTGATTCACAATCAAAGCAAAGCGAAAATTAGCGCACCGCTTGCGAAACGAAGCATGAAAATCTGACAGACAAATGAAAAAAGCCAATTATTCAGAAAATGATTCGATGAAAATGTCGAAAATAAACTAGATCTACCATGATGTTCATCCGTAAGTCTCAAATAAAGCTAAGGAAAACATGTCGCGAAAAAACATACTTAGCGTCAAATTAGCTTTGAAACAAAATTTCTCATACAATCACCAAGCGGACAGTACTAGGGTACACACCCGCTGAGCCAACAACTAGTAAATTTTGTTCAAAAAAACTTCCAAAGCACTCATTAAAATCCAATAGAGCACTTCAAAAGACGTAAATAATCTGACGCTAACAACCTGACATATGCAAACGCGAAGCGGAACTTCGCACGATTTGCGATACAACCTAAACATTCATTATAAAAGTTAGAAAGGCAAAAAATATTCGAAAAAAAATGTTTAACTAGTTGAAAACATTTTACAAAAACTTAGTAAAAAATTTTATGCTTTTTCTCAAAGGAGGTTCATAAATAGCGTTGAGTAGGCATTGAATATCATTTACAAAGAGGCAATCAAGCCAACAAACCTAGATCGAGATCGACCCCCATAAAACCAAAACTGTTGTCATTTACAATTGAGCTAAAAAGGTGACGAAGTCCAATTTGAGCGAAATCCCAAGATGGCAGCCTTCTGTATCGAAACACTACAATTACTAGAAGATATTGCAAGCTACGCAAAAAAGTTGAATTAGGCAATTTAACATAGGCAGAAACCAAATAATTGGAAAAAAAAAGAAATAAAAAAACTAAAGAAAACGAGACAATTCGTATCAGTGCGAAGTCCTGAATGTTCCGACTGCCTTTTAAGGTCTATGGAGCAGATATAACATAGAAAAATTTAATGTTATCAAAATGAATTGTTTTGAAAGAAAAAATTTTAGATTTTTTGTAAAAACCCACGCGAGCACAAATATTCCGTCACTTTCGTTACGAAAGTCGGAACAATTATCAAAATCAGAGTCGATGAAATTATAAACTTCAAACAATTTCAATTATGGTGCAAATTGCTTACATCAGAAGATTAGTATAGGGAAAAACGCCGATGGAAGACAGCGCCAGATAATATCGTTTGCACTGGAAACAAAACACGGAAAATTAGCCGACAGAAATTAGGACGAAATACACGAATTCAAAAAAATTTCATTAATTTTTCGATAAATTTAATAGAAAACATGAAGCTAGGTAAATTTAAAAGAAATGAGCAAGTCAGTCTATTTCTAAGAAAAATGTCTACAAAAAAGTCTAATTACCGGTGACAAGACACTTGGTTTAGCAAAGGTAAACAAAGCGAAACCATTAAAGCCGAACAATTTTGAAGCTTGAAGTCTTTCACGTTTTTTCGCACCATTCACACTTTTATAATTGAAGAGAGCAATTTGTCGTCTAACTTTTAGCTGATGCATTTGAATTAAACTCAAAAAGGGCATATATACCTAAGGTCATTCATTAAAGCAATAAAATCGATGAATTTACTTCTGTAGACATTACAGCTTTCTAAGACTTTTACCTGAAAAACCAAGTATTCAGTGAAAAATTTGAACCACGATGATAAGTTATTTTAACTGATAGCTAACCTGACTCATGCAGTTATTTGTTTGTGATAACTTACGGCTGAATTGTAATTGACACTTAACTTTTTTCCGACCGGCAAGGCGGCTTCGGCCTAAATGCCTATGTACAAGCAGGTTCTAGGACAGCATGCCGACGGGACTCCAGGCCGAAAGAATTTCAAGCCGAAACTTGAGCTTTATAAGCATTTCAAAACGCTAAATTTTCATCAGTAAAATGTTCATACTCAAAAATTTAGGCAAGTTTAGTTCATAACAAGATTTCTTCATATCAATGCAACACTTCAGTGGAATCAGACCAACCGGATTTTGAAATGCATAAATTATACACATGAGACACCCTGTCAACAATGTTTTAATTTTTAAAACTCTTAGACATCAAGTAGAGGCTAAAAATTATGAAAAATCCAATAACTTGTAAAGAAAGCTCAAGAAATGAAGAAACTCTTCAAAACAATTTTCATGTTAATCGAATTTCATGGCTTTTGACAAAAAGTCTGACTTGAAGTCTCTAATTTTACGATTCAGCTTGAAGTTCCGTCGGCTTGATATACGGCACCCAAGTGACACTAGTTTACGCTAGCAAATAAAAACAATTCCATTTATTTGCTGGCTCTTTCCAAAAACAACTTCCTTTATTAAAAAACACTGCTAATTTTTGTCAGCAGGTTAATATGATTAAAGGGTGTTTCTATGACTCTTTAGTTGAAAATCAAGTTGCTGATAGGAGGAATGCACTTGATTTCGCAAACAAAAATTAAAACACGAGGCAAAGAAAAGGTTCGCACCACTTGCGATACAAAGCGAATGACTATCACGACTTGCGGATGAAAGCATAAAACGAATAATCAACAAAAAAAGTCAAAATGTTTACAAAAATGCAAAACAAAATCCGCAGTCTTGGACTGAAATACCTAAAACTTTAGAAATTTTGTTAACAGGCGCGAAACGAATCTCTGCACTACTTACGACTCAACAAATACATAGCATCATAAGATGAGAAACTAACCGACAAGAAAATAAAAACCGGAAAACGATTTGAAACAATTGATCGATCAAAAAATTTTCCTGTCTTGAATAAAAAATCCGTGCGAGAAAATATTCCGAGCAGTAAGACATTTGAATGTTAAATAACCATCAAAACAAAAATTACAAAGCGGTAACGTAACCGATTACCCTTCAGCAGACACACGTTGCGCAAAATAAATTTTATATTAGCAAAACTTAGAAATAGGAAAGAACTTAACACATCACCCCAAAAACATTTGGATAAAACTTTTTTGTTCCTCAAACGACTCAAAAAGAGGCCTCTAGCCAATAAATTGAGTTGAACCTTTGAAACCGAACAAAGAGACGAATGAAATAGACGATCTACTAAAATTGGAGTTGGTAACTTTATAACCAACAACAAAAAATTAATTCAGAATAGAACAGGCATTTAAAATGCAAACATTCTCCAAATAGTCATCTGTTACTTGATTAAAGTGCAGACTTGAAGATGACTAAAGTCATTCAGTCATTCTGTGAACAAAGTGAGCGAAGTTACCATGAGAGTGAAGTTTTTTAACTAAAAACAAAAGATTAAGAGAAATTGTGAACATTTTCAACTCGTTTGAATTAGCTCATACTTATAAATCCTGTACGCCAGCAATTGACTGAAACTTTTTAGCATTTAAACACATTTTGCTTATAAATATAATAACAATTGCGAGCTCGTTTATCAACTTTTTTGGAAAACAAAAAAAGAGCACTAAAAGAAACCCTTCAGAAATGTGATAGATCATCTTTCAATCCAAAATCTATTACAAGCTGCAGCTTCAGATAGCCACATAATTTTCAGCGATTTAATGAGAACTATTGAGGATAATGAGTTGAGTTTGTCCATGTCTTGAATAAAAATCCGTACAAGAAAATATGCCAAGCAGTAGCACAATTGAATTCTAAATAAGCATGGAAGCAAAAATTAAAAAGCGGTAACAAAACCAATAACCCTTGGGCAGAAACATCTTGCACAAAATTATTTTAGAAAAATTTAGAAATAGTAAAGAAGTTAACACGTCACCCCCTAAAAACATTTAGTTATAACCTTTTTAATTCTCAAACAACTCACAAAAGAGGGCCTCTAAGCCATATTATGAAGAAACCTTTTAAGCCGCATGAGAAAACAGAGAAAAAAAACAACCTACTAAAATTGGAGTCGCTAACTTTAAAACCAACACAAAATATTAATTCCGGAGAGAACGGACATTTAAAACACTAACATACAGTAACAAGTCATCTGTCAGTTGACGAAAGTGCTGAGTTTAAGATGAATACATTTTCAGACATTCTGTGAATAAGTTATTTACGGAGAAAAATACTAGTGCTCGGTTGCAAAGCCCTTGGTTATCTCAAGTGTGTGAAATTATAACGCAAAACTTAAGTCTTCAAAATGAACTATCATCAGAGTGAAGTTTTTTATTTACAAAAATGGAAGTTTGAGAGAAGTTGTAAACATTTACACTCCTTTGGATTAGTTCATAATTATTTATAAATCCTGTAAGCCAGCAACTGACTGAAAATTTTATGCATTTAAATACACTTTGCTTACACATAAAATATAATAACAAATGCGAGCTCGTTCACTAACTTTTTGGAAAACAAAAAACTTAGCACTAAAAGAAACCCATCAGAAGTGTGACAGATTGTCTTTCAATCCAAAATCTATTCCAAGCTGCAGCTTTAGATAGTCATATTTTTCGGCAATTTCATAAGAACAATTGATGAAAAGGAGTTCAGTTTGTCCTTGGTAGGCTGTTTGAGACTAAACTATATCTGCTTTTGGTAAACTATCGGTCAAAACTTCAGTTTCAAATATTATTAGATACCATGGCTATATGGTAACAAGAATGGCTACTAGCTGTGCAAGTATCACAAAAAAATCCGAACACAGTAAACCTCGAAAAATTGGAAAAAAGATATTTTTGTGAACAGATTTATTTACGTGTTTCGGGGACATGCAAAAGAGACATGCCAATGCCTTTTGAAAATTGAGCATAAGTAGTGATATGCTGTCACTGAGAGGAAAACACTTGGACGAAGACAATTCGGCCAAAAATTACAGAAAATACATTCAGCCATACGGAATTTTGATCCTAAAATAGCAGAACTAGTTCCCCATTATGCATGCATATATGCTAAGCTTCACTTTCATCTCTTAGTTGACATTTAAAAATAAGTGGTAGTTAAGCAAACAAGAGACAAAAGTAAAATTCGTTCTGATCTCTAATATCTGTAGAAAAAGCAGTTTACTTTTTAAAAACAAGTCTAGTTTCCGATAAGAAATTAAGTACCAACGACATGTTTACTACCTAAGAGACTATTCAATATTTTAAAGCACATATTATATGTCGACTAAATACCGCAAAATAAAACCCGCAAAAGATTCGACCAGACAAACACCATTTCAAAAAATTGTTTCTTCCCGACACAACAACGCACGTTAAAGCAATTTAGCTCGATAAACTAAGTGCTTACAAACAGTGAAGAGGTAGCTTCGATTTACCGACAACTATATTTAGGTCGCCAATTAACGACTCAGTGGTTATCCTGTGTGTGTAATAGAATGCCCAATTGACCCGTTGCTGACAGCTTGAAACGGATCATATGTATTATATCACATCGCTTGTGTAAAATAGGTTAGCTCTTAGATGCCTGCAGGCCTACATTGGCTGTCATCTTGCAGCTATACTTTTATTAAGCTGAATTATCTGTCGCATATACAACCTTTGAAAAAGCTTTCTTGGTCTAATTGAGAATATAGCAGCCTATGTTACAGCTCCTTGATTAACAAGGGTAAAAAGCGTAAATTTAGTAATTAGTCTTTCTTAAAATGTCTTTAAAAAACTTGGTAGTTCAGTAAAATACCTCAGTGAAAACTAACGCACAGTCTAAGGTATAATAGATCGTTAATTGTTAGAATATTCACTTGAAGTGAAATTACTCCGATATTTTAAAAAATTAGGCGGCAAATATGAGATGTAAGTTCGAGAGTGTTCTACTGATTATTTGTGCTGCGAACATCAGTTGGTCTTCAGTCGTGAGTATACGGTGGCAAACCACCTCCATTTAAGTCTTCGTCTATTTCTGACTGGCATCTTTCAAAAACGCTATCAGATCTTTCCTCTCCTTTTCCTTCTTCAGTCCAGCGAATACCATTTTCGTTCCTGGGATGTATTTTTTAGGATCTTGCAAGTAGACGTTCAGTGTATCCTCTCCCCACGTAATGGCTAAAACCAATATTGATCACTAATAAATTTTTATAACTAGCACCAACTGTCGTACGGACACTTCAATCTAACTGGAAAGCCAAAACTTGAAACCAGGAAAACCGAGAAATGAACTAAGGGCCCTTATTACTGTATTTTGCGGGAAAAAACATTCAATCATCTTTGAAATGAAGTAAAAATAAAAGCATAATTTTTGAATAAAAACTGGTCAGGTAGGCTTTAAGGTGCTATTTACCTTGCAATGCATAATTTGAACATTCAGGATTTGCTGGAATAATTTTAGCAGTCAATGAATAAGCGCATTCTCAATTTTCAGCCACGCAAGCAAAGCCAAGTCCACCGGTCGATAAATCAGCGGTAAATATCCAAATAAAACACAAGGGTAGTCGGTAAGTCGGTTACTCTGCCAGAAGCAGTGTTCCGATAAGTCTTAAAACATTATTTTTAAGGTGCCCTTTTTCTGCGTGGTGTGACAAAAGGATCAGCACGAAAAACTAGAACTTATGCATTTGTGACAGTCACAGTACAATAGGCAAATTTGACAACCGTCTTTGTAGAAAAATCACGAGAAAAATTTTTAAAAAAATTACTTCAAAAAACTTTAAATTTTTTAAAAATACTTCAAAACTGCAAGTTTTCACGGTTTAAATTAAGCTTGAATAAACTACTGTGAGACTGCTCGCTCGCTTTATTCGCTCAAAGTTAAACAAAATCAAAAACGTTAAACTTCTTCTTGTCGATACTGGGACAATTTTTTGAAGAGTTTAATGTCGTTCGAATCACGACTGATAGGGCTTTAACATGACACACCATCCATTCCGATGGAACCTGATTTTGGGTGGAAAACAAAAAACTGAAACACCCCAAAACGAAGTTGCTTCCTATTTTCAATGGTCGGGACAATAACCAGTCAAAAATGCATACTACTCACGCACCCTTTTTCTTGTTTCCTTCCGAGTAGGCGAATCCGGGAGCCTGTCCCGTTTGTCTACCGAAGAAGCCGTGCAAATTAGGTCCCTGTTTGTGTGGCTTCCCAGCCTCTATAACATGGCACTGTGCGCACTTCTTCTGGAAGATGTCTTTGCCTTTGCCTATATCACCCATGATGTTCAAATGCTAACGGTGTCGGCGCTGCTAAACAATTGAGGCCAAAAGACCTGAAAAATAACAATAATTCGAGCCATGTTCAAACTAAACACATCTTTTCTTTCCAAAAAAACGACACTAAATGCCAAGATTTAGTCACGGTAATTTAATTTTTAAGCAAAATCATCAAGGTTTCACATCAAATGGAAAGTATATGGTTCTGGTTGTCGCAGATGAATTGATCTAATTAACCCTAATTTAGAGGGATCAGTAGTCTTAAATCAGATAAATTTAATAGCACTAAATAGCAAATAACATCAACGGCAATTTAATCAAAACGTGAACAAATTATATACTTACTAAATATGTACACGATATTCTTTTGCGTTTAAAGAGCTATTAAATATGAAGCACTACTCAAAATTTTAAAAAGAACTTTTGTGGCTGAAAGAGCGTATAACAGTTCACAATTGAGTGATAGTCAATTTTAAAATGTTCAACGAATGCCTCCTAGAACAATCTAGAATAATTGCAAGTATTGGCCCGTATACCCATCGCGATAGTCTATAGACTCCATGTTAACAAGTTCTTCCTTGCAGATAGGGCACTTCTTATCGCGATTACACCAAGATGCGAGGCATTTGTTGCAGAAGGTATGCATACAGGATCCAGTTAGAACAGGGTTCGTGTAATGACATTGGCAAATTGGACAGGTCGTTGTTGATGGTTGAACAGGCATGGCTTGATATGTTTCCTTTCCAAAAGACTTAAACAGTTCGATCACTTTTTCGCCTATTGATTTCAACTGTAGAAGTTTGAAGGCAGTTGCCAGGATTATGAGGATGATATTGTAAATGTATTCGGAAGTACCGTGCATTTGGACTAACATGTGAACCCACAGTCCAAATGGAACGATAGTCCGATATAGTTGCGAGGCCAGTTCTACTGAGAAATAGACCCAACCCTTGTCCTCGAATGCATGGGGAAATATGCGCGATGGTATCAAGTATATACCGCATTTCGCAAGCATTGTCCCCAATTTAATAAGGAAATCAATCAAAGTCACGTAAAAAACGACATAGTATATATCCAAGTCAATGTTTGGTTTCATAAAAACAAAAATCCCGAGGATTTTTTCATCGGAATAAACCAAGAGAATGAACAAAATATTGAACAGAAGAAATCCTGCAAGCTGCGCAGCACGAATAACATTTTGCATATTCTTTCTAAACCCTGTAATTTCAAGGAACAAGCCGTTGATTTTATAGCAGGTGATGAAAAGGGCGATGCATAGAAATAACTCAATACTAGCATCATAGAGGAGTTTTAAAACCAGTAATACAAGAAAAGGAAGTAGAGTCGAAGATGATTTCAGCAGAGAGCTAATGGGGTTACTCTCTTCATAATTGGGAATCGTTTCGTCCATGGTGTTTCGCTCAGACCGCGATTTCTGTTCACCAACGTCACTATGATCTTCATCAACCATACTAACTTTATTGTAACCTTGAGATCGTCGCCCCGGCTTCAAAAGTGTAGTTTTGCCTCCATTGATAGATCTAGTCATGGGGTGACATTTTTCTGAAACAAACAAAACGAACTATTTCATTTGTAACAATCGACGGAAAATAACGATAGGAAATTATTTCTACTCTATAACGATTGACTAGTGTCCAAACTAGATCCTATACTTTTCTAACCGTCTCTACTAAAGCCGCATCATTGTAGTCATTGGGTCAACGAACGTATTACGGTCTGAAGGAGAGCCGGCCGGACGATACAAATTAATCAGAGCGTTAAAAACATTATAATTTAAAACAGTAAAAAACAGAGGCGAAGCAGATCTTCGTACCACTTGCGATACAACTGAAATAAAAACTGCAAAACCCAATGAGCGGAGTAAAAAAAGTTGATCAAGCGATGTAAAACTTTTTGAAACAATAAATTGTAGTGTTCAGTGTGACTACTTTCTTCAACTCTGTCTTGACTTACAATTTCACACCGTTTGAAAATCTAACTACGAACACAATCCGCCAAGTCTGACATATTCCCCTGATCGAGCGAGACTACTGCGGCTTCTGTCTTCTCAACTGAGATCATCACAGGGTGTTCTGCTGCCCATTTGGCGATGACTTGCTGTAACATTCGCCCGGAAGTACATATCGACGGAAAATAAAGCGTGCCAGTCGGTCATATTTGGAAGTTTGACCTTGAGAAAAGCAAGAGCCTGTCATGCACGATTTTCTCGCGATAACTGAAAACCGAAAAAGAGAATTCAGAACGATCGAACAACAATCGCGGGAAAGTTGCTAGATAAAACAGTGGGAAATTGCTATTCGCAATTTCTGTCAGAATAGAACGAGAGTAGAGCTGTCCTATCTGAAACAGAGACAGGCGTATTCCCGAGAACTGGATTGTCATCACTCGATTGGATTATTATTTGAACTGAACTAGAGTGAACCTTCGGTGGAAAGGTGGACAGCTTGAGTGTCCCAATGGTTCACGAGAAACTACATCTTAGAGTTAAAACTTGTCCTTGTCATTGAAACATTAAAACTCATTTAGTTACACTATTTAATTCTCGAGTTAATTACCGACTGAAGTACTTCCCTTTCTTGAGTGTGCTACGATGTGAGTACTTAATTTAAATTTCTAGAGTGTGTTTTATGATTGTTATGTTGAGGTAAGGCGAGTTTTAGGTTGATCCATCTGAAATGGATCAAAGTTCCACTGTCTAATAAAAAGTAACTTAACGGATTGTTCCGACCCGGTTTTTAACGGCGTTCGTGTATTTTGGGTATCTAGAGACCTAAGTATGGGGACGTTATTATTTCTAGAGTGGGGGGGGGGTATTTTGGTAGTAGCCTTTAAGCTGTAACGGGTCGTAGTCTCATGTCACAAGCGAACCGAATTAGCTCCGACTGATTTGAGGTAGAAAAACACAAGAGATAGTGTCCCTGACTCTTGAGCCAATGGTTATAGGGCCTATTTTTCTTAAGCCTCATGTGTGACTACAGTAGACGAATGTTACATAGTGTTTTTATGGCGCTCCTGGGTGTTTAAGACATCAAGACTACGGAGTCGAACCCACTTGAGACAGCTTCGGGCTGCATGCCCATTTTAGAGTACCGGTGGTACGGTTCGGCAGGAACGTGCAAACCTTCCGGTTGCACCGTGATAGCTTTTTAAGAAAACTCGAGAAAACTTCCAGGTACGCTCTCCGAACGAGGCTTAGCTAACCGAGTAAAAGGGGGCAACTAGGGGGACAAAACACGAGCAAAAAGACAAAAAGCAAAACAAAAACCAGAAAAGAATAGAAAAAGGAACAAAAACCATAAAACGAAAAAAGACAGTGACTTTGACACCAGATCAGTTGGATCAAACCTTTATATTAATTAAATAGTATACCCATACTGTTTTACAAGTTCGATCGTTTCGATCAACCTAGCAATTTAACCCAGTAACCTCAATAAAGTGCCCGAGGGTGGGGCGTTGTCAAGTGTTTTTAGATAGCTTGGAACTTAGCTGGACAACTAGGAGACTTGACTGGAAGAGGTGACCAGCCGAGTGGGAAAGTGGTTCAGGAGCACTTGAGCTGAACCAATAGGAGACTTGACTGGAAGAGGTGACCAGCCGAGTGGGAAAGTGGTTCAGGAGCACTTGAGCTGAACCAATAGGAGACTGGACTGGAAAAGGTGACCAGTCGAGTAGGAAAGTAGCAAAGAAGGATTTTGCAGTTCTCGAGTTCTCAAGTTGGGCAGAACGGGTATCGTTAAAATCCACATTACATTATAGGAGATAAGTGTAAAATTGGATAAGCGAAATCCCCTGGTTTTGAGGAACGTTTTTACTTGAGCAGGCCTGGAGACAGGTCTACGGTTTTCTCTTGAGAGGTTTAGCACCCGGCGCTTGAGGTAATTTTTAGGTTTAAGAAAGGGGGCTAAAAAGGGGGGAGGTTAGAAGGGGGCTGGTTAAGTTAGAGGTTGGTGGTTATAATTTGTAAAAAGGGGGGAAACATTAGAGTAGCTAATTGCTCGGCGTCGTCGACTTAGTTACATTAGATATTTACACGCGTTGGTCATAGGAAACGGATATCCAAAATTAGAATCAGGTTAAGGTAGGTACCCTGGGCGGATCGGTAGGGGGGAACGGACATAAACAGTTTTTGTGATACCCCATAAGATCGCTAGCAGGGGGGGGGGAGAGAACGCGTGGCTATTAGGTACCAGACATTTTTTCGATAGAAGGTAGACATTTGTCACCTTTGAATTTTAGGTGGATTCATCTTACTGTTTCTATTACTTTTTCTTGCTTAGATTTTTGTTGCATTTTGGTAAGGATTTGTGTTTGGCTTTTATACAAACAGGTGATCACAAGATACCTGCGCACAGGTTTTGGTTTCAAGTTGCTTGGAACATTGAAAAAGAGGTAACTAAAAAAAAAAGGGGGGTGGGGTCAGAATTTGGCCACAAAGAGAGGGTTTTTGGGAAAATTTTTACTAGAGCTTGAGTGGTGGTACAAGGTACAGTGAATCAAGAAGTCCCCATAACGAGGAAGAAAGAGGTCCCACCGCTCAGACACTTGTCAACAGTCTTGGGACAGTGCAGTCCTGGACCAGAGCAGTCTTGGGACAGTGGTCTTGGGACACTAGCCTTAGGACAGTGGTCTTGGGACAGTGGTCTTGGGACAGTGGTCTTGGGACAGTGGTCTTGGGACAGTGGTCTTGGGACAGTGGTCTTGGGACAGTGGTCTTGGGACAGTGGTCTTGGGACAGTGGTCTTGGGACAGTGGTCTTGGGACAGTGGTCTTGGGACAGTGGTCTTGGGACAGTGGTCTTGGGATAGTGGTCTTGGGACAGTGGTCTTGGGACACTAGCCTTCGGACACTAGCCTTGGGACAGTAGTCTTGGGACACTAGCCTTGGGACAGTAGTCTTGGGACAGTAGTCTTGGGACACTAGCCTTGGGACAGTAGTCTTGGGACAGTGGTCTTGGGACACTGGCCTTGGGACACTAGCCTTGGGACAGTAGTCTTGGGACACTAGCCTTGGGACAGTAGTCTTGGGACAGTGGTCTTGGGACACTAGCCTTGGGACACTAACCTTGGGGCAGTACTCTTTGGACAGTCTTGGGACAGTGGTCCTGGGACAAGGGTCTTGGGACACTGACGGAAAGTACTGGGACAGTACCGAACAGTCTTGGGACAGTAGAAAAAACCTGGGACGGTACAAAGAAGAGTAGGGACGGTAACTGGAAGTCTTAGGACGGTATAAAAATTGAAGTAAAATTACAATAAGTGTTTTGAGACAGATTTAAAACAGAACAACACTAGTCGGAACCCGGTACGGTTGAGACCACAAATAAAGAAAGTTTCAATAAAGGTTTTTATCACGTTGTATAATTCCTTTTAAGAATTCTTTTCCACAAAAGATTTTATTCGTAGAATAGGATTGTGTATATAATAATATTGTAAATAAGAGCAATTGTAAATAGAAATAATGAGACGGAGTAGGCTCGAAAAAAGGTCAAGTGGATCAAACACGAAAAATAACTCGTCGCTGCGCAGAACGACATCAATGGGCCCAAGCAAAACGAAAGATAACTTTTCAGTTAGCATGGTCAGCACGAGGAGTAGTATCGAGAACAAAGAGCGAGAAGGTGCTAAAGACAAACAGGCGGAGCCCACAATTGAAATCGATCTAGAGACACCAGACCAGAGCGTAGATGAAGTGGAGAAGAAGACAACGGAATCCACACCGATGCCCCATATGGAAGATCAAAATCCAAAAATCGTGGAGTTTTCGCCGATAGACGCGTTGGAAGACACAACAGGCAATACCCGAGAAACGGTGAATGCGACTCCCAAGTAAAGAAGACATCTTTTACAGAAAAGTTGGCGATGATGGTCGGAATGAAATCGAGAGACAACACGGCCGAAGAATCAAAAACTGAAACAACACGAACATTTGGGACAGTGAGCACGAAGGCGACAGAAGCCGACCTAAAGGAAGAACAAGCCAGAACGGAAGCGACAGCCGAAAACAAGAAAACGGCTGATCATGAAACAGCTACTCTTGAGCTTGGCGACCTGATGACAAAACTAAATCAGATCGACAAACAACTAAAGTACAGTGAGGAAGATAGAGACTTAATAAGGAAAGAGTTGAAATACAACAAACACGAGTATCTGGATAGTTATTTTAACCTGGCTAAGGCGACAGACGAGAGACTCCAGCAGATGTCGGACAAGGTAGTTGCCACCAATGAAGAACGAGATAAGAACATCAAAAAAGATATGCAACAGTTGAAAAACCGATATGATGATGTCAACAGCCAATTAGGTAGCCTGGAAAAGAGAATGGACACAATGAACAGGAATCAGGCCGAAAGTTCGTGTGCAATACAGGCGAAGTTGGATGCAATCTTGAGAAATTCTACCTCACAAGAAAGACCGGCAGCGGATCGCACGCAAGGAACCAGAGTGGACTTTGTGGAACCACAAAGAAACAAACGGCAATCGACACCGTTGCCTTTAAACCGGGATGCGGTAAGCATAGCACCAACGGTTGCTAAAACAAT